GCCTCTAAGGGGAGATTAGGTTAAGAAGGATGAATGCCTTTCTTGTGGGATGAGTTCTCACCTCTTGCTCTCCTGGGACTAGATTGGTCACCTAGAGAAGGCTGTGATAAAGTGAGGCTGCCCCTTGTGTTTTATCCCTTCTGCTTTAGCCACAAGTGGACACAACACAGTATCCTCATGAGAAGATAAGCAGCTGCCAACAACACGTGCCTGGACTTCTGAACCTCCAGAACCATATGCTAAATAAACTGCTATTTTTTAATAAATCACCCAGTCTCAGAAACTCTATTATTATAGAAAACAAATTAAGTCACCACTATAAAAAAATGTGATAATTGAGACTGTCTCAAGGTTGTTCCTCCTTAGGTGGTCTTGTGAATATTTAGGCCCTACATACAAAAGACAGCTGGTAAACTTTCAGTATCTCTAAAAGATATGACAAATTAAAAGCAATTACCGGGACTACACATTTTCAAGGCTCAGCTGAATATATAAACACTTAAACATTGTAGCTTTGATTCAATTTGCAAAATTTGGCAACTTCTCCCCTCTTCAACTCACCTGCCCTATGATTCTAGCCCTGAGCTCAGCCTAGCTGTGTTCTCTGGAGTGCAGTATAATCTAATAGCCTCTGATCACATGACCACAGGGGAGCACAAATGCCACCTCAGATTAGCCCAGGGACAGCACAGTGACAGGAGCTAACTACACAATTGTATGGAGACTCACTGAGCAATAGACCTCTCTATTCAAATTCCCTGCAATGGAGAGTGAAGCACCAGTCAATTATTTTGGCAGGACTCACTTTCTGATTTCTGACTTTCCTGCCAAATACTAACACATAAAATAACGGAGGCTGTGCCCTCTTTAAAACCCAAAGTCTTTGCAATCAGAGTTGAGTTCTTACTTGTAATGGTCTGTTCAGCTACCTGGTGCTCTGTAGCCTCACACTTCCCCTCTCATGGCCTTTTAGTCATAGATTCTCAATATATACTGGCTGAAGAAATAAAACTCAGGGCTATAACACACTTTCAGCAAAGATAAACTGTATTCAGTCATCTTTATTTAGCCTAATCTGGCTTGAAATGTTACTTTGAAAATTCTAGGAAGGAAATGTAAGAAGGCAGTGGGAAAAATTTAAAAGGAAATTGCAATTATTCATATTGTAAAGGTTTTTAAATAGCAATTCTCCCTCCTGCTTAGATATCTCTTAACCCACTTCATCTATCTACAGAGCTTCATGAATAGTAATCTTTCTACCTAGAAACTGCATGCTTATTCATTCATTCACTTAACCCACACTCACTGTCTACCATGTGCTAGCCTAGGCTTACTATTCATTTAGGTCTTATTTTTTCCTCCAAAAAGCAAGCTCTTTTAACAGAGACATATGCTTAAGGGGAATAGCTACACAGAGCAGGTCTGGAGTGTTTACATGGAAGTCCAGTTCTAGGAACAAAGACAAGAGCAAATGCAATTCAAGGAATTTTAATAGAATGCCAGGGTGGCTAAAATATGAGGCCCTCACCTGGCTGCACTGGAGGAGAAATAAAGCATGAAAAAAAAAAAAACCTTAAAAAGATGTAGTCTTTCAACCAACATGGTATAGTGTACATTTGTAGTACACAATGTTTATACTCCTTTCAGGGAACAGGTACATGGCCTTACTCTCTAAACAACATACTGTGTTGTATTTATACTCATTGACATTATTTTAAGTACTGTGAGTAATTCTAGAGATGATTTTAAATACACAAGAGAATGTATATTTGCTATATGCAAATATTATGCCATTTTATACAAGGAACTTGAGTACCCTCAGATTTGGTATATATGGGGATCCTAGAACCAATACCTCAGTTAATACCAAGGGACAACTGTACTAGACAACTTCTACCAGAATAGATCTCAAATGTTTTTTGCCATATATACTCAAGTATAATTGTATGAGGTGACACATATATTAATTAGGTTGATTGGGGTTGCTATCACACAATGTATACATAAATCAAAACAGTATATACTATAAATATACACAATTTTTATTTGTCAATTATACCTCAATAGAGTTGATTTTAAAAGTCTATGGTAAGGAAAAAAAGCTGAAATACCTCCACTGATCAGAAACAAAATGTAGAGTAGAAATGCAAAATACACTTCAGTAGAGGTATTCACTAACCTACTTCTGTTGGCTATCAGTGACCTCAGAAAAAGGCTGGGACCTGAGTCAGGCTCACAGTTGAAAAGAGAACATGCAGAGAGACACCTGCACACCGTGATGAAAAGGGGACTTTTAAAATGTGCTTACCCAGGGAAGAAAGAAGAGGCAGCTGCAGTCTTTCAACTGGACATGGGTTGTACTGCCTGCTGGCCTGGTAGCAGACCTTAGATACTCTATCACCATCACTGAAGAGAAACTCCTAGCTGCAAACATACGACTTGACTCTGAATAATGGTCCCTAGAGAAGGACGTAGCCAACAGTAACTCACTAAAGGAATCAGAATGACGCAAAGAAAGAATCCCCGAAACCACAGCAAGATGAGTCTCTAATTATAATTCTAATTCTAAAGTACAGAAGAAAAACTAGCACCTCAGACAATGGCCAATAAAGTGAGCATCACAGGAATTCTCTTGAGGAGAAAAGAAAAAACAGAACAACCCTAAAATTATGCTAAACTGGGGTTTTCAAAACAAGGAGGTGATTGCACAGATTATCTCAGTTACAGTTTAAGATTCCTCAAATTAAATTTCTTACCTTGGATATTTTTAAGTTCTAAATGTTTAACTCATACTTTCCAATGATGTGGTGAAAATGCCATGTCATCAGCAACTGATAGTTACCAAGTACAGCTGTGTCTCCCAAGAGGCAAACAGTGACAGGCCAAGTCTCCTGCCCCATCACAGTCTGTGGAAAGACTGACTGGAATTTGACTTGGGACAGTTTGCAAAGGCAGAGTGGACATGGACCATCAAGGTAAACAACACAGATGGGGATGCTCTAGCTTGGTGCTTGGTGAGAGCACTTTTTGTTTTGCACAGTACCAGATATTAAACCTGGGCTTTTGTACTGACCTACAATCCCAGTCCTTTTTTGAGACAGGGTGTTATAATAAGAAGCTAAGTTGACCGGGCTGGGCTTGAACTTGCATCCTTCTGCCTTAACTCCCAGAATGCTGGGATAACAGTAATGTACTACTGTTCCCAACTTAAACACTTTTATCGAGAAAGGATATAACAGCAGATAGACTAAGGAACTGAAAATTAAACATGAGCAGTCTGACTAAAATCATGCTAACAGAGAAATAAATGGATTACATTTTGTACCTCTGTTACCAAGGAAACACATGTATTTACTTTTATAAACAACATTATGTGCATATGAAAGTGAGACATCCTAAATATAAAAGATGACCATGTGATGATGAAGTGATTGAGTGACTCAATATTCAAAGTCTGAAGAAAATTAAAGCGTTAAGTACATTCTTCTTGCCTTTATGCTATAACCAAAAAAAAAAAAAAAAAAAAAAGAAAAGAAAAGAAAAAAATCCCATTAAACCAAATCAGTTGAAAGCAAAACTCTGAAAAAAAGTTTCTGTAGGATTGAACCTGAGGATTTCATTGAGCTGATCCAACTCCTCCCAAATGTTATCAGCACTTGGAATTTCAATGAATCAAGTTTTTTCCTTCTTCAAAGGAACAAGTAACAATAGCTGCTACTGGGAACAAAACAAGGGAGTGGGGGCAGAGAGGAAAACCACACATTCCACTCAAATCCCTACTAGAATTTTGGCTTAAGGAGAAAAAAACCCCAGTGGAAAGCTGGCAAAGCAGGAAAGCAGTTATCTTTATGAAAATAGAATTCCAGGGAACCATGATGTATTAGCCAATGACTAATTGCAGTCATTTTATTTAAACTGCAAGCAAATGGAGACAAAATGCTCCTTCTTAACCCCTCCAAGGAGACCCTAGAGGGCTCTCCAGATGTCAGGCCCATGGCAAGTTCTAGAATCACAGATTCTAGGATAGTCAGTTCTCTGACCCAGACAATGTTCAAATGGAGAGCTCCATGCCAAACCACATAAATATGTGGGAGGTTGCTCAGCTGCTGCTTACAAATCTGGAACCAACGCCACAACTTCCCATGGGGCAAAGGCAATGCCAACCCAGCCAGCAGGTACTGAAAACCTCAGAGGCCACTCGGATTATAAATCTGACTTTTTGGTAGCCTTCTCTGAAGTGAGAAGAAAAATAATGATCAATGTGCATTCACTGCCATTGATTGAAAACCAACAAACTTTGCCAACAGAGATTTATTAGAAAGGAAATCAAGATGCAACATATAATTACCTGACAGTTATTTAGAAGTTAATTACTCAAGTCTTGTTTTCACTGTTTATCTTCCTCCTGCTTAATTTCTTTTGACCATTTCTTTCTATTGACTAAATTCCTTCAATCCATTACAGAAATGAAGCGGAGGAAACTTAAAGTTACTCTGTGGTTGCAAATTGTCATTAAAGGTTTAGTAAAGGGAAGGAAGTGTGCATGGGGCAGTGCATATTAAAATTACTGGAAAAGTGACTCTTGTTCATTTTCATTAACAGGGTATAAAGTGTGGGTCCTAGAGCGAGACAGAGTTTTGGTTTCTCATCTGCTACTAATTAGCAGTGTGTCCTTGGGCAAGTAACCTGGTTTATCTGAGTTAGTTTCCTTATGGGGAAAAATGGGAATATTAATACCTACATTGGAGGGTAGTTGTAAAAGTAAAAAAAGAAAAGAAAATAAATAAAAGTAGTACTAAATACAGTTCATCATAGCTGGTAGGCATGCAAGCTAAATCATTAAAAATTATGTATAACTGATTCTCCTCACATAGTTAAGATGAAAGCAAATACTCCTCAATAGAGAAGAAGGCCTTCCCAAGCAAATGTGCACATTTTAACCTACAAACTTCGTGGTAATTTCAATTTGTATTGTCCAATTTGCATGAGTTGAACTTTACCTGTCGACTTCCCTGCTTGGAAGAACAGCTACTTGTGCTCCTGGAAGGTGAGACCAATTTTTGGGACACACCCAGGTTCTTCTCATCACTCATCCTGAACAACTGGTCACTTGGCCTTGATGCAGTCAGAATGCCATCCGAAGATCGTAGAGCAGAGAATACGGAGTCCCACAGAGGCTGGTAATTCAGTTCTTATCCAATATATTTAAAAGCATTTTGAATTACCCAAAGGAAATCCCTAAACCAAAAGAAAAAGAATTAGAGAGAGGTATCAAACATCAACCCTAGGCACAAATCATCTGCAAGTTGTTTATCCATACTACCGATTATAGGGCCCCTGTGCTAAGCTGTGGTAGATGCTGTGAAGGAAAAAATACTTTACAACTTCCTCCTACTGGAAATTTTGTATAGGTGGTTTTTCATGTAGCCTTGCAATGTAATGGTTTAAGAACATTAATATGGAAATTTAAATCGATACACATACAAAATCAGTACCACAAAAAATCCAAAGCCATAATGAGATACCATGTTACATTCCCTATGATAGCTAAAAGAAAAACAATACTGACAACAAAAAATAAAGACAATAGTTGGGCAGTGGCACATGCCTATAATCACAGCACTTGGGAGGCTGAGGCAGGAGGACTGTTATGAGTCCAAGGCCAGCCTGGGCTACAAAGTGAGTTCAAGGCCAGCCTGAACTGCATAGTGAGACCCTGTCTCAAAAAAGACCAAAAAAAAAAAAAAAAAGACAATAACTAATGTTGTGAAGAGTATGGAGATGTTGAAGCCCTCAGACATTGATAGTAAGAACCAACAATGGGGCTCGACATGGTGGCACACACCTGTAATCCCAGCACTGGAGAGGCTGAGGCAGGAGGATCGTTGTGAGTTCTAGGCCAGCCTGAACTGTATTGTGAGCCCTTTAATTTAAAAAAATAATAACAATGGTACAAGTATGAATAGTTTAGCAGTTTCTCAAAAATGTAAAGATAGCCAGGGAAAGCCCTTGCCTGGCAAATATAAGGTCCTGAGTTTGATTCCTAGTACCAAAAAAAAAAAAAAAGAAAGAAAAGAAAAGAAAAGAAAAAACAAAGATAGAATCCAGCAATGTTCAAAAGTGGAAATAATCAAAATGTACATTAATTGATGAATGAAGAGACTGAATCTTAGAAAGTCATATAATGGAACATTACTCAGATATTAAAAGGGATGAAGTATTGATACACACTGTAACTTGTGTAAACCCTGAAAACAGCACCCTAAGCAAAGAAGTCAGACATAAAAGACCACAAGTTGTTTTATAAGTTTCTATGTATATAGATCACAGAGTCAACAAATCCATAGAGACAATTGGCCAATTAGTGGTTGCCAGGGATTGAAGGGAGAGGGAGGAAAGGGGTTTAACTGCTTAAAGGCCGCGTGGTTTCCTTTCAGGTTGATGAAAATATCCTGAAACAAGATACTGGCTATTCTTGCCCAGCACTGTAGAAGTACCAAATGTCACTGAACTGTACATTCAGTCACTTGAAAATGCTTAAAAAAGTGTATTTAATATTATAGGCAATATACTATAATTTTTTAAAAACCTCTTTCTGTTTTTGGGAATTTGTTCTCCTAAAGGTTTTTGGAAACATCTTCTTAAAAAACCCTATAAGACAACATAACAAAAACTGTGAAGGGAAACAGTATTTCACATATTTGCACATTAATGATTAAAACAATAATTTATTAAGTACATACCTATTTACCGCCAAGAAAATGCTGTTTCCTTTAATCAACAATATGACAGAGTATTTTATGGGAGAAAAAATTAAGCATCTCAGAAGTTAGGTCACCTTCCCAATCACACAGCTGGCAATCAGGGCACTCTCCAAGCCCTTTGACCATGGTATTGAAAACTGGCCCGCACCCAGTATCCAGGTATGAAGATAGCAGCTGTGGATTCATACTGGAGAGCTAGGGAGCTCAACTAGAAAGTCTGGAGGTAACTACAAAGATAACACCCGTACCTTTCTGGCCACAATACAAATCTCCGAAATGGCAAAGGGGGTGGGGAAACACATGGATGGATCAGGGCAGAGACAGGGATACCCCTAATGCTAGCTAGCTGGGCTGCTTCCCAGCACCTCTGCAGCTCTTTGGGAGTATGGTCTTGACGGAGAGCTTTCCAGTGTCCAGGGAGGAGAAGCCCTGGATTCATAAACCTTTATCCACACTCCTGGGTTAAGGGTAATGAATATGCTGTTTGGGCTTCAGGAAGTCAAGAATTTCATTTCAAGTAAATTCTACCATGTCCTCATCCATGTTAACCACAATAGGAAAAATTACATCTAGTCCATCTGGTTACCGATATTCACAGTCTAATTTCAATTGAAGAATGCTAAATAACTGTCTGGAAACTGGCAAGTTAGGATATCAAACTTTTAGTTAATTATTACATAGTCAAATCTCATGTTTTCACTGGTATTTAGCTCTTTAAACTAAAATCAAACCAATGAAGGAAAATGTCTATATTTTAGAAAATAAATTAAGGTACCCCGAGTCCACTGCAATGTTACTACCATCTAAGCCACAACACACACACACACACACAACCTTTTTTTGTGGGGGAGTGTATGGGGAATCGAACTCAGGACACACTCTTTTATAATAGGGTGATGCCTATAATAAATAAGGCCAAAAGCAATCAACGTTAGCCTCTTCTTGCTATGACATGATTAACTGTTGCTAAATTAGGAGTAAATTGATGTAGTTACAAACTGCCAAAAGAAGCTGGAAAGATATACTACTAGTTTGTTTAATAACCATGTCAGATGCTGCTGTTTGAGAAAGGGAAAAACAACTAACCTGTTGGGAACCGGAAAAGACTAAGTGTGTGTGTGTGTGTGTGTGTGTGTGTGTGTGTGTGTGTGTATGTTTATGTGCATTGTGTGTGCCTGTGTGTGTATGGTATGCATTGCTATGGCAACATATCCACAATGGATTATAAATACAAAGAACTGCTTATGTATGCGTTATTTAGTCAGTTAGTTAGTTTTTTAGGGCTAAGGTATGAAACAGTGTGAAATGTGAAGAAAGAAGAAAAGTTAGGGCAATAAAATGAGCCATGGGAATTCTGAAACTGTGCCAAAACAGAATGTCATAACCTTGTCTTAAGGCAACTGCTAAAAAGGGCTGTCTTTAGCTCTCCATCTTGCCAATCTCGCTTTGAAGGAGACAAACACTTGGGCCAAGACTGTTAGCAGGCCAAGTATAATTCTCATTGAAGCTGGCAATTATGGTTAAGGCTCCTGCCAGCACCCCATTCCTGCCTGCCTCCCTCTTCAGGGGTAACAAGAATCCAAAGCTCTTCCCATATCCACTTCCACAGCAAAGTCTGGGGTTACTGCCCAGGGAAATACATCTACTTCATCTTCTAAAACCCACTTTCATGCTAGTCTCAGCAGAAATTTAGCTAAAATGACCAAGGGTGGCTTACTGGGCCAAAGAAGCTAAGTTCTGGGAAAAGGATATGCTTAGATGGAGTAGAATAACAAATGAAGGCAGCAGTATCCCAAGACTAAGCGACCCAAGGTGTCAGGCTGGTCACTTGAACAGAGGCAGCTATTATGTCCACCCTGGAGGACTCTGCAGGGATGGGCTGGATACCAGAGGGAAGGAATTGGCAGGAACCCCCAAGAAATCTCAGTGCAGGGATATATTCTATTCTAGGTAGAATGTAGCTGTCTTCATGTGCTGACCTACATCAATGAGGAATTCTCTAAGGAGAAAGTATAGCCAGGAGCCCAGGCTGCTGACTCAGGGCTCCAGGAGAGAATGAGGCGGATATCTGTGAAGCACTCTGAGTACTTTCACCCCATCCAGTGAGCCTCCAGTGGAAGACATCTAATTCGAAAAACTCATTGGCTAGGAAAAAGTATAATAGCTTCCTGATCAGATTGCAAACAGCTTAAGGATGATAATTTATTTCCACCTAATTTTTAATGAAGCATAACTTCCATACAGTAAAATTAACATATCTTAAGAGCACATATAGGAATTTACATTTACAAGTACATAATCTCCACCCAGATCAAGAAACAGAACATTCTGCAGCCTTCCCAGAAGGGTCCTGGGGCTGGGGGCTGATCCCTGAACAGAGTGGAGCACTGCATCCTTGCCAATGTGCTGAAGGCATCAAACGGGTTCTAGAGCTGCTTTTTTGTTTCCTGCGTACAAAAAGTGTTTAATGTGTGCATCAGTTTGAGGAGAAAAACTCCTAACTTCCTTTTCCCTAAATCATGGAGGCCATCAAATCAAGGAGGTGTGAAAAGCAGATGCACTTAGGCCAACTGGAAACTGTCCTTCTGGGCCCTCTGAGATGATCAGGTTCCTCTCTCACCACTGCACGCCCCTCTAAGAAGCTGATGGGCCAGGCCCTGGGTGAAAACCAGTGTTGTGGTTAAAAGTCAAATGGTGATAAGTTACGCTTCCACAGGTGAAAAGAGAATGAATTTCTACCAAAAATGGTGAAGAATTGGTAACTTGTCTTGCCAAGGTTGATTTATACCTTACTTTTAAAACAAATGTCATTTAGAAAAGATTACCATTTGGGAAAAACAACAAATATTGGACCTTGACAAATAAACTATAGTCTTTCGGCTTTTATGTACAAAAGTGGGAAATAATAATATCCACCTCTCAGAGAATTGTGAGTTAAATCAGAAAATGAGTAGAAAGGGTCCAGCTTGAATAGAATGGACACTCAACAGATCTAAATACTACGTCCCTTTTTCCTGGGATATGCAACACAAGATAAGAACCTATACTCCTCCCCCAATCAAAAACAAATAGAGACACCACAGAATTTTAAAACACTTGTGTCTTACAACATATTAACATTTCCCTGAATCTGGAGCACAAGTGTGAACGAATTATTCTTAAATCATTAAAGCAACATGCTTAGTTTGGAAAAAGACAAATGCAGGATAAAAGTCATATAATTCAACACCACTGACTGTGCAAAATAACAATTTACTGTTAAACAGTAGGTTGAAAACAGTTACATTTAACATAACTTCTTATTAATCTGTTAGCCTAAGGGTCTGCATGCATATACTCAGGTGGGTTGAACTTGAGAAACAGATTTGCTCCTGCAGCTAGAAATAACTCTCATGAAGATCGCAAGGCATATAGTTCCAGCAAATTTGAAACTTCCCAATAAAACAGATAAATAAATTGCATCCTAGATTAATG